CCTATTTTGATAATCTATCTTGGAGATTGACTGTGACTTCAACATCGATCAAGTCTGTTTCAGTGACAACAATCTATTTGAATTTAAGAGATTTGTGGAATCTATCCGAACATACCCCTCAATTGCAACACTTATGCATAAATCTTTCCAGCGATATTTTTCTCGATTTACCAATATATATATTTCCATCAATAGTAAAATTGAATGTTGTTTGTGACGCAATACAATTTTATTTAATTTGCCTCTTGAAAACTACGCCGAATTTGTCTCATTTAACAATTAGATCTTCGAGAACGTACTTGAACGGACATGAATTGAAACAAATCATAGTAGGCCATTTGTCGAAGATAAAAATACTTCGATTTTATATGATATTTGACATTTCAATTAATACAAACATGGAAAAGCGAGTTGATGAACTAATAGAAACATTTCGTACACCGTTCTGGCTCGATGAACATCAATGGTTTGTTCGATGTCATTGGGAATCACAAGAACCACGACAAAACACTCATCTTTACACGTTACCATATTGTCACGACACATTGTCAAATTGGACATCAAATCTATATTGCAAATCGAACTGTCCAAGCGATCAAGATTTTTTTTCTTACAATAATGTGCGAGTCATAGAGTATTTATATGGAACCGATATATGGTTATCTTCTATTCGTTTTCCTAACATTCGTGATATGAGCATAGGTTTTCCTACTCATGAGACGATTTGGTCTTCTATTCCTACATTGGATAATTTGATCTCGTTGACTATCTGGTTGAATCAAGACGCTTGTATATCTGATGTACAAGCCTTGATCAATCGGACACATCGACTCTATTCATTGACACTTCGAGGGAATGTAGGTTTTCAATTATGGAAAATCAAAAGTATATCGATTCGTCGACTTGATCTTACACGTATTGGATATTTCACAGTAGCCCAATGTTCAGCATTAATCAATTCGCTATTGGGTCGTCAATGTCAAGTTCTTTTGATTCACGTAATGAATCGCTCACAAATACTCAATATTGTTAACACAATACCCAATCTTCGAGCATTGCATTGTCGATGTGGAGACAATCTGAAGATTCGTGATCGATCATCGTCGGCAAAGAATGAACTTCTTGTCTGGCTCCGAAATCGTAAGCCATCGAACTTCTCTATTGGGAGAGAAGTAAGTTAGT